ATTCGTGTATAAATTCATTGCACACCAATGAGAAGGTGAACAGTCCTATCTAAAAGCATGGGCTATTTTCCTCCCAAAACATATATATAAATCATTACGAAGATGATATATATATATAAATGCTCTTTTAATAAGGCGAATCGTTACCATTGGTATTTTGCTCTTTCGATTTCTTAGTTATTGTTTTGCTTATTTCGACAAAACTTTCTGGATTGGACTTCCACATTAAAAAAATTGCCATGTTTATTTTATTTTATTTTATATATTTTGTATTATATTGTGTTAAATTGAAATAAATTAAAATAAGAAATGAAAATCTAATAAATAATTTAATTGTGTGAATCAATCTATATATATTGACATTTCAGTATAATGATTTTATTATTATTTTTAAACGAAGAATCAATTCACTCATTAGTCAATTTAAACTCTGAGATGGTTTGTAAATTTTGAATCTACCACCCTATCAAACCATACGCACTATTAGGGATGGAATCATGCTGTACCCAGAGCAATTCTCTCTATTTTTTTTTTTTTTTCTTCAGTATTATGCTTCCTATTTTTGTCATTTTGATATATATATTTGTGAAATATTATCTTTTCCACATGAATTTCAGGTGGCTCCGGGAGTGGGCTTTGGTATATATATATATATATATTACTGTAGCCAATTTTAGCTCAGCCAAAAAAGAGAAAAAAAATTATTACTAGTATTAGCCCACCCAAGAGTGGAGCCAAGAATTTGGTTCAGGGACATGTTAACACTAACAAAATAATTTTTTTTCCAAACAAGCCGAAAATATAATAGCGTAACTTATTGATACCCTAAAAAAAAAGTTATTGAATTGACAGAGTGTCCATTTTATTAATTTTAGGGGGCATTTTATCAATTTCTACAAATTTATGTATAGAAAAAAAAAAAAAAAAAAAAAATTCTAGTGGGCTAGCAGGCACATGCTGGCTCCATGAGCCCACCTTATTGACAATTTATGAATCCACCTTGAAATTATTAAAAAAATTCAGTATTGCTCCTCAGATGAGTTTTTAGGGTTTCTGCACATTAAAGGTGGGAGTTCCAAAATCCTGTTCCCAACGCATTTACAGCAGCTGATACTAACTTTTTTTCTAAATTTTAACTGATATAATTTTGTCTAACGGATTATGTATTAAAATAAATTAGGTGTATAGTGAAATAATTTTTGAATGAAACAGTGAAAAATGGTAAAATTATGATATAATTGGATTGCGTCTTGTTAAAATTCTCTAAAAACAAACCAGTCTAACTTTCAATCTCTATTTAAATACTCTTTTCAGTGAATAGTGGAATGGAAGATGATCGAGAAGATGTCTGAGTACGAAAAATTTTTTAAAAAATATTTTGAATTTAGTTTCCTCCCATACATCAACAAATTATTTTAATATTTTATATGTAACTATCTCACCCTTGAATATATATATATATATATATATAACAAATTTATTTTAATATTTTATATGTAACTATCTCACTCTTGAAAAATTTGTTATATATAAAATAAATTTGTTATATATATATATATAAAAGTTTAAGAAATAAAAGAATAGAAAAGTATTACATATAATGTCAATGATCATTCTAATGTATGTGTTTTTTTCTTTATATCCAAAAAAGCGGTGGTTAACATCATAAATAAACCATGTCATTTACAGATGCTTAATAAACCATGTCATTTAATTTTCATGAGTCATTCGCTGCAAATACAAAAACTTTAAAAATAATAAACACCTATTTTCATTTAACAATAATTAAAAAAGAACATAAAGCAAGCAAGGAGAGATAGTAATGCTTAACTACACACTATTTTCATGCACCCCTCATCCTCGGCCTTCCAATCTTTGGCATGTTTGAAGGAACACTTGCTGGTTTGCTGATAATCACTATGATTTTTTTGCGCTGTATATTACTACGTAAATAATAAGGTCAATTGCATTAAATCTCCTTTGACTTCAAGTTAACGAAAATTTTATACAATTCATCCAATTATATATAATTTTGATATAAATAATAAAAAAAAATATTTAATTTTTAAGTTTTGAATATTCAAATTTAAAATTTTAAACTATAAGGACATATATGAAATGATGTAAAATATTGTATCCAAATAAAAAAGGCAACTTTATGGGCCATTATTGTAGCACATTTTTTTAATTAAAAAGGCGTACATTCAGATTAGGCATGTCGACTGATTTCTTCAATTTTTTCATTCATATTAAGCTTTATTATTTATAGTCATAAAATGTATGTTTATAAAGATTTTTAATTGCGTAAAATATAGGTGCATATTGTTGATGTCCGAAAGTTTTTCATGTTTTGTAAAATCAAAGCATTTGATTTTCTGCAAGCGTGGTGGTAAAATCTAATTTGTTACAAATTATAAAATAACTTTTGAAATTTAAAGTTTAATTCATCAATAAGCAATAATCTATGATTTAATTTATTAAACATTTTATAATATTAATTTTTAATATTATTAAACAATTGTAAAAAACTTATCAAAGTATGATTTTATGAAAAATAATCAACACAGTAAGTAGACACACAATTTTACACAATAAAAATAAGTGTTTAAATTGAAAAGAGCATAGGAAAAGAAAAAAGGAGAGTAAAAAGGACGGTACTATTGGTTTATTATTAGAAGATAAAGATAATAGACTTTTTTTTAAAAAAAAATAAAAAATAAATTTATATTTAGGAAAGAGTTAGAAAGAAATAGAATAAAAAGTAAAAAATTATATTATTAAAAATGTATAATAAATAAAAATAAATAACTAATGTATTCAAACTCTGTGTATTTTTTAATAATAATAAATATATGTATATATATATATATAGATATATAGATATATGGACAATTGCACGCAGAGTTGATACACACTTGTGCAAAATTTATTCGGGTGTGGAGAAACTGTCATAAAGATGGAGAGCCGACATGGGCTAAGGCCCAGTGGGCTTCAGGCACGTTAGTAAATTAATATATCATTTTCTTTTTTCAACCCTAACCTTTTGAAGCTTTTCCAAAAAAATTAATTTTGTTGCATATCAATACTTGTTCTAACTTTATATTTGTTTCAGACTTTCTATTTTATTGACCTTCTTGATTTCATTTCAAGTAAAGCAGGAGTAATTTTTAAATAAAAATTGTATTAATATAATTAACGTGAGAAAACCTAATTTAACGTACAACATCATCAAGTTGGTGTGTTGTATAGTTATTTTGTCACGTTTAATTTTATTTTACAATTGAGTCCAATTCCTTAAGAATTAGAATTCGTATTGATTTATCAGTTCCAACAATTATATATATATTTTTTTGCCTTTAGCCGGCCATATCCTAAAACCTATTATAATGTACAATTCAAAGAAATTGGTCCTACCAACATATAAAAATTGTCAACAATCAATTAAAATTGTATATTTTGATTGATTTGACATATCAACTTGTTGGTCCTCGACTCACCTTATATATATTCCATATTATGGTACTTAGATATATCAACTTGTTGGTACTTACTCGATATATAATAAAAAAATTATTAGAGGATGTTGATCATTTGATAGTTTAAATTAATCTAAAGCTAATATTGAAATTTTTTCTATCACATTTTCTCAATTGGATAGGCTGCATTTTACTGGTCTACCATGTGTCAATGTACTGACCATCTATCATTTTTTTTTTTAAGCTATATTATAAAATAAAAGAAGTGTACAACATAAAAGAGGCCTTAGGCCAAACCCAGCCCACAAGTAGGGAAACAAGGCAAAACAACTACCCAGCAAGGCAAACAACAGCCAATCCCAATCCAAACAAAATTCCAAGGCCCATGCCCAAACCATAATTCAACAAAAAAGACAGAGATAACAGTCAATTTTGCAAACAATCCGGCAGCGTAGTCAGTAACGGCAAACAAGCCCTAGGCTTGGAGCTTAATCCGGTGGCCTTGGCGGAGGGCAACAGCAGGACGGAGGCAAATCCCAGTCATGGAGAATGGACTTAGATCCTCTAAGTTATCATAAGTTGAATTTTCTACTAAATGACATGTGTCATTTAAGATACATTTATGGCTTATGTTAAATCACTTCAGCTAATTTAATAAAAGTTAGAAAACTGTACTGTTTTAAGATAGAAAAGCTTTAAAATACCTTAATACAAAAATGCATCTAGCTCCTTTACCTATTTTCTACTGATATCATAGCAAATTATGCTCAAAACTTAGATTTTACAAAATTCATCTAATCAGACATTGTATATTATTAAATTAAAAACCTATTATTCAAGTCTTTTTAATCAAATCACCTTTTCATCCAAGCCAATACTATTATTTCAAAAAGGGAGTGAGGGAGCAATCTTTTTTGGGGACAAGAGGAGAGATCTTATAGGAGAGAGATGTTTACGTCTTCGTAAAGTTTTTTTTATCTAAAAATGGTAGTTTTTTTAATTTTATTAAATTAATTGATGTGGTTTAATATAGATCATAAATATATTTCACTGACACATGTCATTATATAAAAAATTCAACTTATGATGACATTCAAGTCTCGAGGAGAATACCTTGAGTAGCAGCAGAGTTTCGAAGAATCCTAAACTGAGTATGGAAGTAACACTGTTGCAAACCCTTGATAGAATTGCATTTTGGGATGAATTGGTTCTTCGGAAGATGCGGGCATTTCTTTCTTTCCAAATATGATAAACCAAGGCAGAGAAGCATAGCTTTCGCAGCAGGTTCAGAGGGGTCGATGAGGACCATTGAGTGCTGAAGACTGAGATTTTAGTCCACCCAGGGGAGAATAGCGGCGTGGATGAAACATTTTACCTTGAAGAAGCTCCAAATAGGGGCGGTGAAAGAACAAGAGAAGAACAAATGTGAATGAGATTCAGTGCTAGCCTTGCAAAGGGGACGGGAGTTGTGATGATGAGCCATGGATCTACTGTCATGAGTTGGAGTCGTTCTTGCACTGCCAACTAGAGGTTAAATTTCATTCTTGGGATTGCAGGAGACCACCATACAAGGTTGTACCATGGAACCTGAGGAGAAGAAGGAGAGAAGTAGGCCGAAGTGTGCTTGAGACTGAATTTTCCTGAAGGTGCTATGGACCATAGCAATTTATCATTCTCATTGCTGGATGGGGCTGGCAGGGGAAGCAGTTCCGAAGTCACTGAAGACAAAGACAGTGGAAAGGACCAATAATTGTTAGATATGAAGCAGCTAACTGTAGTTGCAGTGTCATATCCTGCATTAAAGAGTAATTGTGATGGAAATCTAAGGCTTAGAGGGCCCCCAGGAAGCCAATTATCAAACCAAAAGTTTGTAGATGAACCATTGCAAATCTGGTGCTTGATAATGAACCAAGTAGGATGTCTCAGCTGTAGGAGTTTCCTCCAACTCCATGAACAAGAGTAAGGGATGTCCAAAGACCACAAGTTCCTACCTTTGATGAGGTAAACCTTGCACCATTTAATCCAGATTCTGTCACTATTATCTGTCAATAAATCCCACATCTATCAATTTCTTGTATCTGAAACCCCATGTTGGAGAAAGACTCAAGAGACATATTTAATGAAACCAACATTTACCTTGGGAGGAAATCCAGAAAGGGCGAACAAAGTACACAGGAGAAAAAGAGACGAAAGTGACTTTCAGAGCTCAAATGGCAGAGAGGGCACGGATTGGGGATTTGAATGGGCATCCAAAGAGTGAATTTGTGGTTAGGTATGTTGATGGGACTCCAAACAAGGTGATGCCATTCCACTGAGGGAGAAGAAGGGGGTTCAAAACAGAAAGCATGGTATGTTGTTTCATGGAAAACTTCCCAGAATGGGAAGGAATCCAAATGATTTTGTCTCCAGAGAAAGGGTTGGAAGGATTCAGGGATGTGGTTTGATATGGTGTTTGGGAAATGCCAGATGGAGTCTGAAATGAAAGAATTGGGTGTCCCTGCCATCACCCACCATGTGTTTGATAATTGGAAAAGGCACAGCTTCTGAGTTGCAGTATCCTTCTCCAGCTCTGCATTGTTGACAAGGTAAGTTCCAACCCATTGCACCTATATTCTTAGAGAACTGTTTGTTTTTAGATTCCAACTCTGTTGAATGTTTCAATGTTTGGTAATTCAAGCCCACCCTCTGTTCTAGCTTTGCAAATGCTTCCCCAAGCAACATTAGTTCCTGTATGCTTCATTTCTGGCGATGTCCACAAGAAATTTCTGAAAATGACATTTAGTTCAGTGATTACACTCTTTGGGAGGATGAACATGCCTGCCCAGTTAATGATTATGCTGAAAAGAATAGATATGATTAGGAGATGCCTTCAGCATAAGATAAATGCCTGCATCACCAATTGAACTTGGATTGTTCTTTTTGTTTTTTTGTTTTTTGTTTTTGTTTGTTGTTTTTCAAAGTGATTCCAAAAGTGTATGTGCAAATATGAACCCTGAAAGCACATAACCTTTTCTTAATTTGTCTATACATTGCATTCACATATCAATGGAGATGAATAAAGGACAACCGTCAAAGATACTTGTGGTGGTCTGTTAAAAATATTCATGCTCAAACTTTTCTATCCGTTTCTTTTGCCAATTTTTTGAACCGGCGGCTATAAAACTGATAGGGCGGCAAAGGAATGCCTTCTTTCTTTTCTTGTTCCTCTATCCTCTGTCCTTCCCAGCTGTCGGTTTATCAAAACTCTTTTCTTGTTAATTCCTCCGTTCATTGTCTTTACCAGTTTAATTTATTAAAACTCTCTTAAACAACATAGTTATTGTAGTTCCTTTTTTTTTGGGTATAAGAAGAATCCTAAAGACTTCGTTTGGCATTCATTAAGAAAAGGGACTTTGTTAGGCCATGGCTATGGCAAAGTCAATCTTTTACAATGTATCAGTGCTTTTCATGCTTTTGTGTTTTGGTGTTATTGAAGCAGCTCCTGAAGGTGCTCTGATTACAACCCTTCCAGGGTCAGTAAACATTAATTGATTCATTTGATAAATTATAATTTTCTCTAACTAATTATGTATTAAAATAAATTATGTGTTTAGTGAAGATAATTTTTGAATGAAACAGTGGCAATTGGTAGAATTACATTATAATTGGATTGAGTATGGGTGTAAAAGTCAACAGATTGAATTAATAAAATTTAGCAATCTCAAATTAGTGAAAATTAGTCATAATGGTAAAATTCTCTTAAAAACAAATCAGACAAACTTTCAATCTCTACTTAACTTCCAATGTCTACTTAACGAGCCAATTTTCAATCTCTACCTAACGAGTTTTCAGTTTTTTCAGTGAATAGTGAAATGGAAGATCACCACTGTGAAGAAGATGTTAGAGTTGGTAAAATTTTAAAATATATTTTAGATTTAGTTTCCTCCCATACATCAACAAATTTATTTTAAAATTTTATCATTAGGGATATTTACAAATCTTCGACTTTCAACCTCAAAATAGGATACTCCATCAAAACTGTTGAACAAACTATTTCTCTCAAAAACCCTTTTGAAGTCATCCAACTTTTGCAAAAAAGAGCCATAGTAGAACACAAAAAGAAGTACAAATTCCTACATATAGGGCTTGTCCAAGTTGCAGTTAAACCTCTTACCTCAAGGGGACTTAACACTGCTATCATGTTTACTCTAAGGGATTGTAGGCATCTCGATTTTGAAACCTCTTTATTAGGAGTTTGCCAAACTAGTCTTTTTGATGGCCCACAATACTTCAATTGTTTTCCAAATTATTCAGTAGCTCTCGATGATCCAACAATCCTTCATACTTTAACCCTCAATGTCTTAAGTAGTGGTTATAAAATGATGGATGGAGCCATACCCTTCAATGTTGTCTATAGAATCCACTACAAAGTCTATACAACCCAAGTCAGCCCCCATGCTCTTCGTGAGTCTCCCAAAGGAGAAACCCTTCTTCTTCATGCTAGTGACGAAAATTCACAAACTTATGTTCTAAAAACCATCACTTGGAATGAAGTCACCTTTCCGGGAGAGTGGACTCTCGAGCATGCAGCTCCTCCTTCAAAGATCGAGAATAAAAGGTTGGAAAAAATATCTCAATTTTCTGATGGCACGGTAAAGGTTAGATTTAATTCTAACAGGCCCAATAGACTTTCTATCCAAGAAATAGAAAGACCTAGATCCTCTTTTTCTCATACTACTCATACAAACTATTCAAAAGCCCCTTCCTGAAAATCATTTTCAGGAACGCCTACAAGGTATCCAAACCTCGTTGGTGTCAAAAACAAAGAAGTTGCTAACCCAGTTTACCAGGACAATGTTAGCATACAAACTGAGGAAGAAGACATCCATCCTCTTTGCAGCACTCCTTTACCTACCCAAATTAGTTCTCAAAACAAAGGTCTGCAAAACCCTCCCCTAAACGAAGATCATCAAGATTCCCCTCCATCCCCAAATGGTTCTCAATTTGAAAATCCTGATCATCAGGTTTATCAGCTCTACATGATAGGAAAGGTTTATGAGATCGATAAAGACTTCTTACACAAAGATTTCTACTCTGCGATCAATGATTCCAAAAGACAATGGTATTTCCAAACCTTTTCTGCTCAAAAAACCATCCTTATTAGAGAAGAGTGGTATGCTTTCTGCATACAACACAAGTTCTCAGCCCCTTTCTTCACATGGTTTGAAAATTATTGTCTCGACAACAATATTGATTTTCCTTTCTCCACAATCAAATCCTTAAATGTCACAACCAAATCCACCATTACCTGGCAAACATCACGTGGTGAGGCTCTTGAAGCCATCCATCCCCCAGCCGAGGCAATCGAATTCAAGACAAAGGCGTCAGGAACAGTCACACTTACTGCTTCTCCTTTCAAGACAAAGGCAGTCGCCAACAACAATACCACATCCACGACCCGTGATGTCCGAAGCATCATGGAACAAAATAACTACATAAACCAACACCTCCAGACACTTGGCGATCAGCTTTCTCGTGTGGAAACCTTGCTTCAGAAAAAACAAATTATCCCCATTCAATCTGATAATGCTCCCCTTTTCATACCCCATGAAATCCCCTTACACTTGTCTAAACAACTATCAAAACGTAGTGCCATTGAAGAAGCACAGGACAGGATTAAGCGTATCGAATCCCTTATGACCTCCACAACTACGATTCCTGATAAGCCTGAAAGACTTCTTAGAGCCATCAATACTCTTGACCAAGAAATTGGTACCGATACTGAAATTGATGAAATTACTGAGGTCTTCCATAACCAACACGTCAATACTTTAAAACCAAGTTCTTCTCAAAACTACTATCCCAGGCCAACTTTCCCTGACCTCCAGATCAAAGAACGAGGCCAGTTTTCCCAAGCTGCTTATCATGGTGATACCATTTATGAATGGAACATAGATGGCAAAACTGAGTATCACATTCTCAATACACTTCAAGAAATGACAATGGTCAGCACTGCTTAGAAAACCAAGAATGACTCTTCTGATCATGCTATAGCACAACTCCTAGTAGGAGGATTCACAGGCCAACTCAAAGGATGGTGGGACAACATCCTCACTCTAGATAAACGACAAGCCATTCTTAACTCTGTCAAAACAACTCTTGAAGGAACAATTATCAAAACAGAAGAAGGTGCAGATATAGAAGATGTAGTTGCTACTTTTATTTTCTCTATTGCCAAACAATTCTTCGGTGACCTCTCAATTGTTAGAGACAAGACCTCAGAAATTCTAGCCAACCTTCGATGTCGCAAACTTCAGGATTTCAGATGGTACAAGGATGTCTTCCTCTCAAAGGTCCTTACCAGGACTGATTGTAACCAAGCCTTTTGGAAAGAAAAGTTCATTGCTGGACTCCCTAATCTTTTTGCTGAGAGAATTTGCAAGCATTTCAGATCAAAACACAATGGCCATATTCCTTATAACTCCCTCACCTATGGTGACATCATCAGTACCATCACAGCTGAAGGAATTGCTCTCTGAACTGATTTCAAACTCCAACAGCAAATCAAGCATGAGAATGCCACTAGCAGAAAGGAATTAGGAACTTTTTGCCAACAATTCGGCTTCGAAAACCTAACCCCTCCTTCCAAACGAAAAGTCACACCCACTATCGAAAGCCTTTTCCCAAGAGATACTAAAATAGGTCACGGTATAACAAGAACAAACCCTCCTTTGCAGATAAATATCTCTCCTCTGAGAAAAATAGACAGAAAAATACCCCTCCTCCAAAACATTTTCAAAAGAAACCTACCACCTCAAAAGCAGATATAAAATGCTTCAAGCGTGGCAAGATGGGTCACTACAAACGCGATTGCAGAGCCAAACAGAAGATCAATGAGCTCGATCTCCCTGAAATCGTCAGGAGCCAACTGATGCAAATTCTTTTAAACTCTTCAGATGAAGAATCCGAACATGATATCAATGGCATTCAAGAAGATGACTATCATGCTGATACATATTATGATTCTGATTCTTCCAACCCATCTTTGGATGACCAACCTATCAAAACCAAATGCATCTGTA